CCCCCTGGTGGGCTGAGCTGGTCACACACACATTAAATAAATAAATAAATAAATAAATAAATAAATAAATATTTAAAAAATAAAAATAAATAAAAATCACTAGCAGAAGATTGATCATTAGCTAACAAAAGTTTACCTCTACACATACCTTCTATGAGTGTACTAGTACAATTTTTAAAAATATAAAAAGTATCTATTACTCAATTGAATTTTTTCCTGCTTACTTCTATAATGAACCAATCTGCTCTCTCCAATACATCCCCCATATATTTCAAATTGCTTAAACAAGTTATGCACATTTTAGAAGATATACAGCTGTTACTTTCAAACTGCATAATACTTTACTAATGTCCAAAAGAACTACAAAGAAAAACTCGACTACCTTCCCTTAAATATACCTTCAATTAGAAAATAAATCTTGTGTATATAGCATTATCTTTCTAAACAGAAAGACACACAATAAATAAGCTTTAAAAGAGAAAAATCAATTACCTCTTCACTTGTTTCAGTTTTGATTTTAGGCTCCTTCTCTTGCGTTGAGCTGGGAATGGTGGAGCTGCTGCACTGACCCATTTTATTATCCATTCCTTCAACTTGGGGCTGTAATTCTTTACAGAGTGTATCACTAGGGTCATCTCTGTCCAGCAAGTATCTAAGAAGTGCATTATTCTCCTTCTTCTTAGGACTCAGCTGCTCCTGCTTGACAGTTCCTTCACCACAAGCAACTGTACTGCTGGTGTCTTTCCCAGTGGCTTCTGCGGTAATCTTAGCTACTTCAGCTGGTGAATTCCCATTCTGCAGCAATTTATGCAAAATCCGATGCTTCTCTTGCAACAGTGACCCGTGCATATTGGATGTGGAGGACACGCCTCCAGATGTTGAGGAGGAGACTCCAGAGGGGCTAGTGACACTAACAGAAGAGTCTTTACAACTTGAATCCAGGGGGGAGTTAGTCAAGGAGGAATGGCCTCGATCATCAGAAGAGCAGGTGAGTAACTGCAGTAATTTTTTATGACCTTTGCTTTCTAAAGGACCCTTCTGGTTCTCTGACCCTTCACTGTTGCTCTCTTTACTTTCTTTGTCATTGAGGTGATCTCTGCTATTTGACTGACACATTGTACTCTCCACGGGATTCTGGTCACAGTACAAGCCTATGGGACTCTTGGAATCCTGACTGTTCACTTTATTTGGTTGAGATATATTCATATTGGGGGAGTTATCCAGTTTGGGTCCTGGTGAAGACAAGGTAGATAAAAGAGAAGTCCCCACACCCTCACTAATGGCTTGCAGGGCACTGAGAGAGCTGCTGGAAAAACTATGGCTTCCTGTATTGCCAGAAGATCCCATGGGAGAGTGTACACCTGGATTTAGAGAAAAATTAGGAAGAAAATTAGGCTATCAGACCTTATAACAAACATCATTCCTTCAGTTTCTAGTTCAAAATTAATTAACTGGATAAGAATTACAGGGCTAAGGAAAGAAAACTACAGGAAAAAAAAAAAAAAAAAAACTAAAATGAATACCTGCAACAGGAGAAAACTGATGTGAGGGCATCTTTGGACTCCCACGGTTACGAGGTGATATCATAATATTCGGCTGATTGGAGGCAAGACCAGGACTGCCTTGGGGGGGGCTACTCATGTTGAGCCCATAGTTGTTGTTTTGGTAGGAAGATGGTGACTGCATGCCAGGCCCAGACGTCAGTGAAGCAATGTTACTGGAAGCCCCATACCTAGCTCCACTCAGCTGCCCAGGGGTGCTGGGGTCTCCCAAGCCATAGGCCCTGCTGCTCAGCATCTGTAAGCCTTGGTTTGGTGACATGCTCATGCTGCCTACCGAACTGTTGCATCCAGCTGCAGGAGGTCTAACGCCTTGTCCTATAGGATTTGGGTTTGGTCTATATCCATTCTGTTCTCTGTAAAAAAAGAAAACAACAAATTTTGACTAAAAAGTTACAGGAATACATTAAAGCCCAGAATTGTATTTGGGGAAACACAGAAAGGCAAAAGGAAGGAAGAGGGAGAAAAAGAGAAGGATGAAGTAACTGCTCAGGAAATATGACTTATGTGTCATTCTAATACCTACTCCCAAATTACATCTGATGACTAACCTAATAATGTATTTTTCAGTAAGTCAAATAATCTAAATTGTGATACTGCCACAGCACTGTCAAAGACCAACAACCTATGTTAGTGGAATCTTAGGCTTTAGTAGAGTTACCAAATATCTAGTGGTTAATCTGAAAATATCTGCAAATTGCTCAAAATAATTAATGGGTGACTAGCTGTTGTTTAGTTGCCATTAGCAGTATCAGTAGACACTATCATTTATTCTTACAGCTTTATGTTCAAATTTTAAATTCAGTCCCTAAAAGTAATGTAATGTGTCTTTAGAAATAAAAAGCCAGTTGTGGGGGTGCACACCTGACTCAGCACTCTAGAGGCCGGGGCAGGAGTGTTACTGAGTGTTTAAAGCCAGCCTCCTACATAGAGAGCTCAGGGTCAGCCTGGACTATATAATGAAACCCTGTGACAAAAAAGCCAAAACTCACCCTCCCCGCCCAAAAAAAAAAAAAAAGGTAAAAAAGATAATCGGATTTTACACGCTGTTATCTACTAGACTTCCCATCCTCTAGGTTTCCCATGAGCAATTATTTAGTGGAATAATCATTTCAAATAGAAATACATAAAATAATCTAATAATCTAAACTGGCATCACCCAATCCAACAATTTCTTTTGCTTCTTACCTTTTTCTCTTTTTACATAAGGCATCAAATTTTATTCTTACAGTGTAAGAATAAACTTAACACACAATGCACCTCAATCTATAGTTACCTTTGAAGAAAGTGGGTTGAAACAAAACCATGCCGATCATTAGTTACAGGGTTCCGGAAGAGTTTGCTTTTTGTTTGTGCAGTCACTATAGTTCCATCAGCCAATGAAAATCGATACACTGGGGTTTCTGAATGGCCATGAATATAAGCTGTTAAGGGAAACACACTATAACTAGAATGCACAATAGTAAAATTAGTACTTGTACACAGAAGTAGAGCAAGGAATTATATCTCAGGCAGAATTTTTTTTTAGAATCCATTGTTGGGAGTGGAGGGACATACCTGTAATGCCAGCACTCTGAAAGGCTCAAGGAGGAAGACTTCTACCACTCTGGGCTACATAGTACGTCCAAAGCCAGCCTGAACTACATGGTGAACCCTGCCTCAAAAACTTCAATGAGGGCTGGTGAGATGGCTCAGTGGTCTAAAGCACCAACTTAGAACAAGCTTAGCAAAGCACAGGGACCGCTGTTCAATCCCCCAGCACCACATGCCAGCCAGCCCCGCCCCCTGGTGGGCTGAGCTGGCCACACACACACACACACACACACACACACAAATAAATAAAATTTAAAAAAATAATAATAAATTTATTTACGTGTGTGTGTGGCGCCAGCTCAGCCCACCAGGGGGCGGGGCTGGCTGGCATGTGGTGCTGGGGGATTGAACCGTGGTCCCTGTGCTTTAGCTAAGCTTGTTCTAAGTAGGTACTTTAGACCACTGAGCCATCTCACCAGCCCCCACGTAAATAAATTTAAAAAAAAACTTCAATGAAACACTGGACTTCCATCAAAATTACAACAAAGTAAGTAGGCTCAGGAATAATTTTCCAACATGTAAAAGCACATGAAAAGAGAGGCAAAGACACAAAGTAAGCAAGAATACAGCAGGTATATCAGAACACTCGGGAGACTGAGCCAAGAGAATCTCTGCAAGTTCAAGGACAGCCTGGGATCTGTAGTGAGTTCAAGACAGAACCAAACTACATAATCACACCCTGCTACAAACAGGAAAAAAAAAAAAAAAAGATTTCCCTCCTCCCATGCCTACAGTCATGTGTGCGTCACAACATTGAAACATCTAGATCCACAATGAACTCCAAATGTCCTTACCTTCTTGATAGTGACGTTTCTGCGACCATGACTGCCCATCATTAAAACTAAAAAATCTTTGAATACACCTTCGGATTATATCCTCAAAGCCAGGTCTCATGGAGGATCTTAGTGAATTTGTATCTATATTGACAACCTTTCCTAGAAGCAGAAAACAAATATTTAAAAGCCACGCAAAAGTATTTAGTGCTGCCTAGGCATGGGTTAACACAAAATAAATAAAAGACATTAAATCTTTATTCTCCCTTATCTACTCCAAATTCCTGTTATGCATCTTTCTCCTTAAAGACATAGTCCTGCAGGATGCCCTTATACCTACATTTTTTGATACTGGGGTATATATATAATAAAACATTTATCTGTCTTTTCTACTTCCAACCACAGAATTTTCCCCTGAGCTTATATTTTACTGATTCATAATTTTTTTAAATGTATTTAGTACAGAGTCTATAGGATCTCACTACATAGATCAGAATCATAATGATCCTCCTGTTTCCAGCCTCCCAAGTGCTGGGATTACAACTGCGCACCACCACAGCCAACCTCAATCACCATCTCAGCACACCCCACGGGTAGGGCTGGCACCGCACGCTAGAGAATAAACCCTGTTTCATAATTCTAATGAGGTGACTGAGGGTGGTACACCTAGATTGTCTCATGGTCTAGACATCCAAATGACCAAGTGACTAGAGAACTGGAACTATCAGCCCAATCTATGACTTGAAACAGAAATTAAAAATTCTTGGACACAAAACCTAGTGAGTTTCTAAGTTGGTAAAGGTAGGGGAAGTGGTTAAAGAAGGCATGGCAATTCTCCAGGACACTTCAAATTTTTTAAGTGATGCTTGCTGGTGTGCAGAACAAAGAAGTTGCAGTTTAAAAAAAAATTCAAAATTATTATTGAGGAAGCCCAACAAGAAAATTGTACAAACAAGTGCCATGGCATGGATCTTGATTGGGACAAATACTTTCAATGACAAAAAGCTGGCAGAATAGGCCAGGGAGATAGGTTGGTGGGCTAAGCGCCAGCCTGGCAAGCACAAGAACAGGGCTTCAATGCTGGTACCACACGCCATGCTAGGCCCAGAACCTTGGGCAGGCCATCCCAACCACCTAAATCAGGCATGGTGGCACACACTTGTAATTCCAGAGCTGGGGAAGCTGAGACAGGAGGATCACTATGAGTCCCAGGTGTGCAGCAAGACCCAGTACCAAATAAATGATTTTTTTTTTTAAATGGCAGACTGGGGGCAGCCAAATAGCTCAGCAGATTAACGCACCTGTAAACAGGTGGATCACTACGAGTCCAATCTAGTAGTGAGACCCTAAACATCCTGTAGACCCTTCCCTAAAATACAAAAATATTTTTTAAATGGCAGACTATGATTGAAACTCATCATGATGTCAAAATCAGTGATCATTATTTGCCCATTCTGCACATGTTTTACTAAAAAATACGGGACTAAGATCCAGGAGACAGGGTATGTTCAACACCAATAGAACTACTTAACTCCTGAAAGTGACAGACATCACAACCCAAGAAATCAGAAAGACTGAAAACAAGTAGCCAATGAGGTGACACTACGCAGTATGAAAGGCACAGCGAAACAATTCATTCAGCATCTCTTTAGAATAATAAAAATACTGAAAACAATAAAGAGTGGACTAAACAAACTCATAGGAATTCACAGTGCAAAGTAGTTCTGAAAGATCTACTGGAGACAAAGAACTAATGTGAACTGAGCTGAGAGAGATAAATCATCAGCTCAATAAAGTTTAAAATCAGCATTATAATGGTGATGCAAAAAAAAATGTTAGCTGTGGGGGACTCAGGTCAATAATTTCTGACATTGCCAGTTAAA